TCCATGTGGCCCTGCCACTTTGAAGCGCCCCCTTCTTCCCCCCCCCCCCCCCGCTGCCTCTTTCTTATGGAGGCAGCATGTGGGGGGGAAAGTGACTGGACTAGTTGACTATCCGATAAGCTTATGCTTATCAGAAAGTCAATCAGTCACTTACATCCTTATGTTGGACCCCCCCCCCATACACAATATTCCATAAGGATTAAGTGATCTTACGTATATATCCCAAGTTCCTCCCAAAGGTACTTAACCTCGTTCCACTGCAACGAACCAATATGCTTATCTGTTTTCTTCCCGAAACCCCTTAAGCACCACAGGGAAGCAGCACTTCATACCTTAGACGTGCGTAGGGCACTCACTTTCTACTTACAATGCACAAAAGCCTTCCACAGAACTCCACGGCTCTTAGTCTCCTATACAGAGAGATCACAAGGGTTACCCACATCAAAACAAAAACTATCCAAATGGGTCTCGGACTCTATACACTTAGCATATACCATATCTCAAAAGAAGCCCCCACCCAACATATAGGCTCACTCTATAAGAGCCATGGCAGCATCAATGGCACTCCTACAGGATGTACCAACTTCACACATCTGCAAGGATGCCACATGGGTTTCAGCACACACATTCACGCAGCATTGTGCCATTCAGGCTTTCGCTGACTCCGAAACCCGTTTCAGCTGAACAGTACTCTCAGTCACTGACTCACATCTTCCAAAGCTCCCACCACCAAATATGACTACTGCTTCATAATCACCTAAGGTAGAGCACCCACAAGGACATTCCTTGAAGAAGAAGTGAAGGTTACTCACCCTGTGCAGTATCTGGAGTTCTTGAAGATGATTGTCCCCCTGGGTGCTCCACCACCCATCCTTCCTCCCTTCTGCTTCAGACTAATTTACATCCAGATCAGAGAAGGAAATGAGATGGACGACTGCCCAGTCAGAGTAGCTGTTTCAAATGTCGCATCGGTGCCCCTTGTGTGCCACCTACCATGAGCACTGCTATCTAAAATCTCCAATTAGAGGCATAACAGCATTCAAGCACCTCAGGTGGAGCACCCACAGGGATGACCATTTTGAAGAACTCCAGTTACTGCACAGGATGAGTAACCTCCCATCTTGAAAAGTGTGTTGTGTGTGTGTATGTGGGGAGGGTGTTGATCATTGTAGAAGTGGAGATATGTCTGCATATTTTGTATTGTTGTTCTGGCAAGATCCAGTGCTGCTTTGAGTTGGTGTGTCCTGTTCTGTGGAGATCTTGCTTCTGATTATGAGCTTGGAGAAGTTGAGGGCCAGAAGTGGAGGTTCAGGAAAGATTTCTTTCAAGATGGGATCCCCTTCGAGTCTGCGTTGTGGTGGTTTGATGGCATCATGTTTGAGTTCCAGTGGCGTGCTGGGGGACAATAGATGTATGTGTGGTGCAGCACAGTTTTATATGTGTATTGAAGCAGGTTCTTTTGGGGTATTTGAGTGATCTGGTCCATAGCCTGAGTGCATCTGATGAAGTGAGTTCCAGACCATGAAAGTTTATGCCCAAATACATTTGTTAGTCTTTAAGATGTCACAATACTCCTAGCTGTTTTTTTCTCTGGTGGAGTATCCTTGTTTGGTGAAGGCAGTTTTAAGTGTGTTAAGACGTGTAACCAGGACTTTCTCCTTGTATCATATTCTGTGGCATCTGAGTGCCTGGCTATAGCTAACACATTTATTTGTGTGTTTGGGTTGGTCCTAAGAAAGATGGTATAGAGAAAATGGAAAGAGAGCTGGTTTCTTCTGTGCTTGATTATTGAGGGTAGAATGGAGTAAAACAAAGGAAAATGAAGGGGTAAAGAAAAAGGAGAGAATTAACCTTACAGAATAATCTCCTGAATCATTTTGCTGCTAAAATTCTAAGTGAGGCATTGTGGCAGTGTAGTGTATCAGGCTGCCAAAATGAACAATTATGAATTACAGCTAATTTAATTAGCATTGTTCTCTGTGGGGGAGCACCATTGCATCTCTGACCTGTTGTAATTGTATTAATTAATTTACATATAAAATTAATACTTTTGTATAGCATTACTTTCTCATGCCATCCTTATGTTTCAAAGTATTGCTATATTATAACAGATTGACAAAAGGGATCACATTAAAAATAGCTGGAAATAACCGTTTGGTGCCAGTACAAAAAGTTACAGATGAGGATTTTCGAACTCTGGCCTTCATCTTAAGCAATAACACATTTGTTACAGGTATGTTGTCTCATATTACTACATATCATTTTATAAATGGGAAATAAGAAATATTTTTGAGTCTTAGTTGTTCTTTCATGTAGGGATCCTATTAGTTATTAAGAAGTGTTGTTTAGTCTTATTCATTTCTGTATTCTTTGCCTTTCAGGGCTGGATCTTAGATATAACATATTAACAGATGTTGGAGCAGAACATGTTGCAAAATTCCTTCAGGTAGTTTCTGCCAAAATATTTGATTTTTACCCCAAGTTTTGGTTTCATTGGCCATGATAACATTTATGTGCAGTAAATTGGTGACAGTTTTTTCTGTTTTGAAAAAAAAAAACAGAAATCTTGGCTTTTCATACTAAATCCATTAATTTAGAATATCATATTTAATTCATAACATTTTGCTGTTGTTTCAATATACATGCTCTTTAAAGTACAGTCTGCAAAACAGGCATTCATGTGGCATTTTGGTAGTATATAGCACACAACAAAAATAATGGAAATGTATAAAAACATTATATATCTTAAGTATGTATGGAAACTTAAAAACATAGGCTTCTAGTATCATCCAGAAACAAATTATATATAGGAATTCCTGTAGTCTGCAAGTCCACAGCTATGGAGTCAGCTCATTGCTGCAGAATCATGCTTTGAGCCTAAACTTTCGTTGTTAAAAGAAAATTTATGTTTCTAGCTCTAAATAGTTGTATAGAAAATCTTGAAAATGTCACTGGTGTAATCAAATATAGTATTGCTTTCCTGAGTCTGGTGACAGCCGGAACAGTACCTCTGAGCATATGTTGCCCCAATCTTTTCCAGGAATTTTTTAACTGAAACCCAAGGATGATAATTTAAATACCAACACTATTAACTGTTTTATTGATTATAATTTTAGTAACATTTTAGCACTGTTATATGCTTATCTACCAGTTCCAAGCTAAAGCTTCTCCTCACTTGCCTATACCTCCAATTTGCCCCTTTCTTCATCATCTGTGATGAGGTTATTTGTTAAAGTATAAAACCTTTGGCATGTTGAAAACTGAATATGCAAATGCTGACAGTTTGAAGCTGGGCCATTGGTTAATAAGGTTGTTTGTTAGTTTTTTATTAAACATTGCTGTGTTCATTTTTGTATTACAATTTTTAAAGGTTGTTATTCAATACATTAATTATGGGGGAAACTCTTTCTGAATAAAATGTCATTTAAAATCATGCAAAAGCGGCGACACAAATCTGATATTAGGAATGGCAACGTACAAAAACCTGTAGGGGAACACTTCAATCTTCCTGGACACACAATTGCAGATCTCAACGTAGCCATCCTGCAGCAAAAAAACTTCAGGACCAGACTTCAAAGAGAAACTGCTGAGCTACAGTTCATCTTCAAGTTTGACACCATCAACTCAGGATTAAACAAAGACTGTGAATGGCTTGCTAACTACAAAAGCAGCTTCTGCTCTCTTGGAATTCACACCTCCAGATAAGCTACTAGAAGTGGGCCTCATCCTCCTTGATTGGATCCACCTCGTCATCTCCAGCCTGATTCTGGCCTGCATATTTTATACCTGCCTCTGGAAATTTCCACTACATGCATCTGACGAAGTGGGTCTTTGCCCATGAAAGCTTATGCTCCTACACTTCAGTTAGGGTATGTCTACACTACAAAGTTAATTTGAACTAACGGACGTTAGTTTAAATTAACTTTGATAGGCGCTACACTAGCGCTCCGCTAGTTCGAACTTAATTCGAACTAGCGGAGCACTTAGTTCGAACTAGGTAAACCTCATTGTATGAGGACTAAGCCTAGTTCGAACTTACTAGTTCGAATTAAGGGGTGTGTAGCCCCTTAATTCAAACTAGTGGGAG